CAGGACAACTGCCTGTTTTTGCAGGGAGAGAGGCATTTGAAAGCATGAAGTGGGATGGACCCAGACATCTGAGATTTTCAGGGACCAAAAAATTGATAGATACCAACTCCGACAAGTGGGGGCACGCCATCACTAGGAAGAGGGATAAGAATCCACCTTTTTTTGTTTGGAGAGTCATGTCTTTCTACAAAAGAATGTTCCTGGCTTGGATTATGAATTTAAGGTCTGAGATGGACGAAAGAACCTCTCTTAACCTCAGGAGTACAACACCTGTTTTAAGAAGGCAAAGTCTTCTTTTGCTGGGGCAGAGCCCTCTGTGATCTCCTTGGTATACTTGTCCAAAAAGAGTCCAAACAAGCCTTCACCTTCAAAAGGTGTAGCCTTTCAAGGCGTCCCTTACATGGGAGCTGACCAGCATTCAAGCCAAACTATCCTGCACATGTGACTGAAGAGAAGACGCATCCTAAAGCCATATGTCCTGAGCAACCAAAGAGCTCTTGATCATCCAAAAACAGGTATCAGCTGTCAGAATTGATTGATAATTTGATTTGCTGGCTTCCTCTATGCCTTTGTACCTTTCTATACATCTTTAATCTGTTAAAGATACTCTTTAAGACAGTATTTTGTGAAAATACCTATACTTCTTTGAACATTGCTGAAAAACCCAAGACATATATTTAACTGAAGTAAAACATGGTGCCCCACGAATTTTAGCTATGACTACAATTAGTTATGATTTAGACTATTGACAGGAACTTCCATAACAAAAAGAACTGTCTTATATGAAGAGATTTATAAACCATAGACCTGCGGGAGGAAGGTATGATATAGCACAGTTTAAAGTGTCTTCGATTCCCTATGTGGTATTTAGTTTCAAATGTCCAATTTGTTATTTCTGTGTACAGCGAATTACACGCCCCAACAACAAGAATTGGGTATCGTAGAAGAAATACAAAAACAACCATAATTTCCCCAGTTTCTTAAAACACATGACTGTAAAATAGAAGGTTTAGGAGGTATTTGCAAGGGAAGTATAGGGATTAGAGTATAGGGGTCTGTGTATCTGGATATGAAGACCTTGGGCTGGAGTTTGGGTTTGAGGACTTAGCCCTCTTGCAGGCTGTGCGCCTGGAGGCTAGGAGTCTGAAAGCATCCTTGAAATGTATGCCCATATTTGTAGCCAAAATGTTCTATTTGTTCTCATTTAGATATTATAACTTAAAAATGACCTCTTACTAGTTTAGATGTTGTTTTCTGATAACTCCAACATTAAAAAAAAATCCTACTTTGTTCTCTTTGTTAATCAGGGGGCTGGGGAGCTGTTTTTCCCATAAACAAGCCCATATGTACTGTGCCGGAAGATTGCATTGTCATGTGTAAACACCGTCCTATCAAAGGGCTAAGAAAGTTGCCCTCTTCACTGTATGTTAATGAGAGCCTGTTTTAAGCCTTTCTATTGGGACATGTTCAGAAAGGCTTGCTGCAATGACACCTTCATGTAAGATAATTTTTTTGCTGTATGCTGCGTGAATGGGAACACAAACATATAAGTGGGGGTTCCTCAAATTTGACTGAAAAAGAGGAAATACACTTTAAGCTGCATTCAGAGTACCTGATCATACAATGCTCGAATTTTCAGTTTAGTAGCAAGCAATGAATCCCCAAATAGAGGAGAGAGACCTCTGTGTTCCATGATGTATCCTCATTTTTTTTATACATTATAGGACACACAGCAGGCCATAATTCATGACTAACTGGGATGTCCCAATGCAATGTTCATGACGGGAGGGAGACACAGGAACCACCGTCAGGCCCAAGAGCTACTGGGTGGCCCGCAAACCCACTGGCCAAAAGCCACATCCTCCGCAGCCTTCACGTTTACCTGGTGAAACCTATAAAGGTTTGTTCTGAAGACCAGGTTGCAGTCTTGCAAATCTGAGCTACTGACACCTGATGGCAGATAACCCAGGAGGCTCCCACACGTCTGGTAGCGTGCACCCTAACTTGAAACAGTGGAATCTTATTTTTCAAGCCATAGGCTTGGGCAGTAAGCTGACAAATACATCTTGAAATGCTCGACTTAATAGCTGCCTGGCCTTTTCTAGAGCCTTCAGAAAAAAAAAACAAACATTTAATCCAATTGCCTGATTGCGTTGCCATTTTCAGATACATCTTGACAGCCCAAACCAGATCTAATGTGTGCAGATTTTTCTTCTGGCAACCAAGGACTGGCCAGAGTTGTGATGTCATCACTCCCATGCTGGCGTGTCCCGTGGTCATGCTCTGGCTTTGTTATACCACTTTGCATTTAATGACGATTGTAAGTGCAATGATTTTATATTAAACTCTAGTTTTTACATGATTGCGCTATGAGCCGCCTTCTCTTTTATATCTGATATTCTTCCATTGCCGAGAAAATTTGGTGAATAGTAGGCAACATTGTGGCTGAGATATTGCTTTGGTGCGGGGACATGGCTGTTGAAGCTTGCAGACGGGGTCACTGAAAAGCCTGGCTATCTGGTGGTGAGAGCATCGGAACAGTGATTTGTAAAGCACAAAGTGCTATTGATCTCTTTTCATTTTGACATCATCCTTGTCTAGTAAGAGGTTGTCATTTGAGAAACACCTTTGAGCACTGGAGCACTTTGTGTGATATGAGCACTTGGCACTTTCAGAAGAGCACTACAGACTTTATGCTATGAATTCATTTTTTGATGGACTTTATGTACTTTTTTTTTGGAGATTACTTAATTTGCACGTTCATATATGTTACAGTTTATATCTTTTTATTCTGATTATGTTTGTCAGTAAACACAATATATGTTCAGCAAAAACATTGTTGTTTTAATAGGATTGCTTGTTAATCAGTAGAGCTTCTATGAGACAGCGCATCTTTTACCTATTATAATATTTGTGAATCCAGTATTTATGTAGGTGCAGCAGCAGTCTGATATTTATTTTTGTCTAATGCAAGGTTTGTACTATATTTCAACCCTCACTTAGTGTCTGCCTCACCATATAATGAGTTCTTTTTACCAACTGCACAATGTGGTCCTTATGGTTTTGGCAAATCCCAATGGCTGCCACAACAAGTTTCTTGTTAAAAGGAAGCTTTTAACAGCATCTCCAGTCTCTTCTCAGCCTCACGGGAGACAGAAACTCAGTAGGACTATGAATAAAGTCCTTTGGACCTGATGGTTGAGCCCCTGCATCTTTCACAGCTGCGCTTCCCCCTCCTGCTTTCTGGAGGGCACCCTAAGCTGAGAGATAATAGAGCCTGTGTCAGCTCAGGAACTCCACTCAGCAGAGAGGACACACCTGCATAAACACACAGCATAGTTATATAGTTTGTCTGGCTGAAAAAAAGATACATGTCTATCTAGTTCAACCATAAAAGTAAAAAAAATAAAAATGTATAATATCCTATTCCCACAGTTGATCCAGAGGAAGGCAAACCCCCCTGCCCAGCAAAGCATGATCCAATTTGTTCCTGTAGGGGAAACAAAATTCCTTCCTGATCCCCCAAGAGGCATTCAGATATTCCCTGGATCAACTTTATCTATAAATGTTAGTATCCAGTTATATTTTGTGTATCTAGGAAAGAAGCCAGGCCTATTTTAAAGCAATCCACCGAGCTGGCCAGAACCAACTCTTGAGGAAGTCTATTCCACATTTTCACAGCGCTCACTGTGAAGAAACCTTTCCGTGTTTGGAGATTAAATCTCTTTTCCTCCAGACATAAAGAGTGCCCCCTTGTCCTCTGTGATGACATTAAGGTGAATAACTCTACACACCGTTCACTATATGAACCACTGATGTATTTATACATGTTGATCATATCCCCCTTAATATCCTCTTCTCGAAAGAGAATAAATTCAGTTCCTCTAAACTTTCCTCATAGCTGAGCTCCTCCATGCCTCTTATCGGTTTGGTTGCCCTTCTCTGCACTGTCTCCAGTTCCCCAATATCCTTTTTGTAAATACAAGAGAGGATTTTTTATCACTGGAAACCACAGCTTGGCATTGCATGCCATTATTAAGCTTGTGATCTACCAGAACTCCCAGATCCTTCTCCACCATTGACTCCCCCAGTTGTACTCCCCCTAGTATGTATGATGAATGCATATTCTTAATCCTCAAGTGCATAACCTTACATTTATCAAAATTAAACCTCATTTGCAACATAGTTGCCTAATTAAACAGTGCATTAAGGTTGGCTTGTAAATTGGAGACATCCTGTAAGGACGTTATTCCACTGTCTAGCTTGGTGTCATCTGCAAGGAATGAAATGTTACTTTTAATAATTTGTAAATATATTAAAAAGTAAGGGTCCCAACACTGAACCTTGGGGTACACCACTAACAACCCTAGACCATTCAGAGTATGAATCATTAACCACTACTCTCTGAATACAATCTTTTAGCCAGTTTTCTATCCAATTACAAACTGATTTTTCCAAGCCTATAGACTTTATCTTACACCTTAGCCATGTGTGGGGAACTGTGTTGAACACTTTTTCAAAATCCAAGTATACTATATTCACAGCCACGCCCTTGTTTAAGGTTATGCTTACCTCTACATAAAAAGAAATCAGATTTGTTTGACAATTTGTCTTTCATGAATCCATGCTGTCTGTTGCTTTAAATATTTTTTCCAGCATGAACTCATCTATTTGGTCTTCCGGTAAACTCTCCAGTATCCTCCTGACTATATAAGTTAAATTAACAGGTCTATATTTACTTGGTAAACACTTTGATCACTTTTTAAATATAGGCAATGCATTGGCCTTACGCCAATCCAGTGGTATTATGCCAGTCATTAAAGAGTCCCTAAAAATTAGAAACAATGGCTTTGAAATGACAGAGCTCAATTATTTTAGGACCCGTAGGCATATGCTATCTGGTCTGGTGATTTATTCAACCTTATTCTGTCTAAATATTTCTGAAACATATCAATTTTGAGCCATTGCGGATCATTTGGGGCTGTGTCAATACAGTTTTAACCTCCCTGGCGGTATTCCCGAGTGTAGCTCGCGGTAAAGTTTCAGTACCACAAGCGGTAACCCCGAGCTACACTTGGGCTTACCATGCGGCGCTGCCCCGGGATCCCTTGGTCACTTACCTTGTCCTGCGTTCCCGCGGTTTCCCTCCTGCAGTGTCCCTGGCAATGTAATCCAGCAGATGCCAGCATCTGTCATCTGGGTTCCATCCCCTCCGAGCGTCAAGACGTACGGGGGACGGAACAGCGGGAAATTTGAAAATGACAAAAAGTGACATTGACTAAAATCACATAGTAAAACATTACTGTATCAAGCCATTTCACATACATTTTGTCCCTAGTGATTTGTCCTGTGCCCTGCCTGCATTTTGACTGTTCTTTCTGCCTGGAAACTGAGAAACGTCCATGGTGTCCAAAAAGTGTCCCTTTAGGTCAAAAGCGGTTTTAGACCAGCTAGAGAACAGCGATAGTAAATTAGAACTACTTGCAGAATTGAGTGATAATGATTCGTGGGGAAATTTGTCAGACACTGAAAATTATTTTGCGACTTTGCTCAGTGATGTGTAAACTTGGCGCTATATTTAAAATTTCAGTGTTTTTGGTTTGATTATATTATTGAATTAAATGTATTATATTATTTTTTATGATTATTTAATAAATTATAATTTATGATTTCGTGTTTCCAGTTTTATCCTACCCGGGATGTTTACTAGACTCTTGTTCGGGCAGATTTCAGTGAGTTATTCCTAAAAATTACAGGCCTACAAAAAAAAAAAAAATACATATTTCCATGCAAAAAAATGTACCGCTTTGAGCACAGAAATATGGACATAATTAGACCGCTAGGGAGGTTACTAGGTTTGTGCTGCTATCTTTTGCAATCTGTCGGTTCGTTCTGAATTTGTACGGCCTTGATTTCCTTTTTACATATTCTGTTAGATTCTTTGTAATATTTAAACGATCATTATCCTTCATTTTTATAATTTTTAAAAGCTTTTTTCTTTTCTGCCACATTTTGCTGGGTGGAAGCTGAAAAGTGGGAAGTTTGAGTAGAGTGAAAAACAGTTTCGCATTTGACTGCTGGTGACTGATTGTGGTTGTAGTCATTTTATTTTCTTCTTTGGAGTCATTTCTAACAGCCTTTTCTTTTCAAATCACCTTTTCTGTCACTTTTTAAATCGCATTTTTTTTTCCTTTCCTTTCTTCAGTCTGCTGATTAAGGGGAGGGGTTAATTGGTCACAGGTGCTCCAGGTCCTATATAACTTTCTGTAGAGCACACATTTGTGTATGGCACCTTTTGCTGGCTGAAGCTAAAAAGAGTGCAAAATTTGAGAATGGAACACAGTTTTGCTTTTGTCTGCTGGTGCTCGTAGTTGTTTTATTTTCTTTGTTGGGGTCTTGCTAACAGCTTTTACTTTTTAAAATAACTGTCACTTTTTAAATATAATTTTTTTTCCCTTCCTTCCTTCAGTTTGCTGATTAAGGACAGGGGTTAATTGGTCACAGATGCTCCAGGTACTATATAATTTTCTGTAGAACAAAATTTGAGCTTGCTTATCCTTGACCTTGCCTGTATTTTGCTTGCTAGACCTTTGACAAAGTGGAAATTTGATTAAGTGGATTTAAAAATCAGAGTTTAAAAACAGGAGATTATAACAGGAGTCTTCTAACCAGTAAGTGACATCTGATATTTCCTGTTAGTAATAATACTGTAACTAGAATAATGAGCACTAGCAAAGTGGAAGGTTTTGTGAAATGCACAATGTGCCGCATGTATACAACAATGGAGTAACAGCTCCAGGGTGGATACCGCTGTGACAGATGTGGGCGGGTTGACCTTCTGGAAGCTCACATAAATCTGGAGAAGCAATTTGCAACATTGGGTGGAACTGACAACCTTGAAAGGGGTCTTCTACTCACTGAGCAGGTAGTTAATAGGATTGATGTGGAGGGTGGAGGGGTAAGTCAGGATTATCAGGAAGGAAGATGAGTAACTGTAGTTAGGAGTGGTAGGGGCTCACAGAAAAAGAAAGGCCAGCCCTGGGTTTAAGCATCCAAAGAGATTTGCTTAGTTAGGGGAAGATGTGGGGGGTGGCGAGCTCAGAGGTGGCAGCCCTAGGTGTCACTGCTATCCCTAACAACCCATCTAGGAGTGGTGGTGAGGGTAGTGCAGGAAAGCCTAGACAGGTGGTGGTAATAGGAGATTGTATAATCAGGATTGATAGATTAATTTTTCGCCAGGATCGCTTGAATGGTGTGCTGTCTCCCTGGTTTCAGTGTTTGGTATGTGCTGGATCGGGTTAAAAAAATTAATGGGAGGGGCTGGGCAGGACCCGGCTGTCTTGCTCCATATTGAAACCAATGACAGAATACATGGAAGGTGGAGGCTCCTCAAGAATCAATTTAGAGAACTAGGCTGCAAGTTGAAGGGAAGGACCTCCAAGGTGATATTCGCTGAAATATTGCCATGTGCAACATAGGAAAAATGGGGAGATTAGCGAACACAATGCATGACTAAAGACCTGGTGTAGAAAGGAAGGATTTGGGTTTCTAGAGCACTCGGATGATTTTTCATTGGGTACAACCTATATACTGTACTAAAGATGGTTTGCACCTAAATGGAAGGGTGATGGAGGAGAGGTTTATGGGAAGGTTGGATGAGTCTTTAAACTAGGATTGAGGGGGGGGGGAAAATTAGATTATAATGGGGGCAGTCCCTACTGGTTAGTTAAATGGGGAAAGATTGGGGGAGGACTATGCCAAGTGATGTTACAAACAACCATTGGAATTGGTAGTATTTGTATGAAAATAAAAAACATGCCCAATACATTAGAAAAATGTGACAATTAATTGGTTTGTTCACCAATGCCAGAAGTCTGCCAAGCAAAATAGGCATGCAGAGAACTAGGATTTAATTGGTATTGCTAAATCTTAGCTCCATTCTTCACATGACTGGGCTATTAATATTCCTGGTTATACTATCTTTTGGAGACACTGAGGGAAAAGGTAGTGGTGTCTGTCTGTCTGTATGTAAGAAGTGATTTCAAAATCGAGCATGAAGGAGGACCTGGTGGATGGAGAGTGTGATGAGGCTGAAGCATTTTGGGTAGAACTGCTCATGGGGGTGTGTACTACAAAGGTAATCATTGCCATTTGTTATAGGCCACCCAGTGTTAATGAGGAGGTGGAGACTCAGCAAAGGGCTGGGACAATGATAATATTGGGGGAATGTAATGGTTTGGAAATTGACTGGAATAATGGAACTGCAGGAACAGTTAAAAGGGCAAACATTTATAAACCTATTACAAGACAATTTCATGGTACGGGCCTCAACTAGGAATGACCTGGTAATCTCAAACCATGCAGAGCTTATTACTAATATTCATATAAGAACAACAAGCACATACGGGAAAGATAAAAACACTCAACTTTAAGACAGCAAACTTTCCAAGGTTGAGGGCTGCTCTCCAAGACATAGACTGGGAGGGAATATTAGCATCAATGAACATTGAACAAAATGGGAGTTCTTACAAAAGACTATATGCAAACACACTGCAAAATATATTCCCATGGGCAACAAGGTTAAAAACCTATGAGGCTTACGGCCAAAGCAGCGTACAGATAAACCCCTGGGGGACCACCGAACTGGCAGTGCCCTTCCCCAGTGGTGTACTCACGTGCCCCAGAGAAAACAAAGAGCTTGCTTTGTGCCACTTAGCTGCACCTGACTACTGCTGTAGCTGCCAGGTAGACAGAGGAGTGGATGAGAAAATTCTGGTTTCAAACCTTTAGCAAGGTGACAGCCGACTCCACCACTGTGATGCTTTTCCACTTTTGACCATGCACACGCCCACCGCAACCGTGGCAGTAGAAGAAATTTATCTGAGAAAACCCCCAAAATATGGGAAGCACACAGCCAATGATTAGTCCAGCTCCTGGCATTTCTCAGCTGCATAAAATAAAAAAAAATGCAGCGCAGTACTATAAACTCAAATACGGTGTTACTAATATCCAACATGCATGCATAAACAAATAGTGAAAACAAAAAATGTGCTTAGTGACAATAATATTTGCTACATCAAATATATATCAACACATACATATGAATACCCATAAAACGACATACATCAGTGCAAAGTGAATAGTGTACACAAATATCAAATGAACCGTTCTAAATAGTGAACTGTCCCTTTTACACTCCAATATCTTCACATGTGCTTGTGCGGTATATCTCCTGTGCATCGTATACCAAATATACCATCAATAAGTGTCCCAAAATTAAAATTTCAAAATAATGGTGATCTGTCCCTTTAAAACCGCTGTACTCCAGGTGAATCTGTGTGATCATGCTACTGTATACTCATGTACAGTGCTCCTGTGTCACCCATTAGAGTTCATCCATCTCTGACACACTATTGTGCTCACCTTCAAGTTTGACCCGAAATACCAGGTCAAACTACGCTTTTCCCTTTAACCCAGGAGGGTATATTGGTACCAAGATATTCACCACCGTCAGCACTTAAAATCTCCAGAACGCTCCACAAACATATGAAAAAAATGCTCCATATAGTGAAGTATTGCCAAATAAAACCAACTTTATTATATTAATCCAATACCGCAGGGTAAATACTCACTATACTGTGTAACTATGGAATAAAGTGCAGGAATCCCTTATCTAAAATGGCGGCACGTGCACTCTCGGTTTGCTTGACATCAGAAACAACCACCACTACCCATAGTGGAAGCACTAGAAAGACACTCTAGGCAGCCCAAACTGTGATCCCACTTAAAGGGGCCTGACACTGCAGGAAACCTCACTATGTCTCGCCGCAGGATCCTGTCCACAAACAAGAATCCAACCTTCACCAATCAAAGTGGACTATGTCACTTGTGATCCTCAGGGACTCAGTCCCCCTTTTCTGTGGGGTCCACTGCCCTGAACCTGTTCAGTAAAAACTGCGCAGGGTTCCATATTAACAGGGTCGAACATCAACTGGCTGCATTATAGGCAATTCCTGCTTAGATGTCAGATCCCATCATAGCGGGGCCTGGGTACTAGCTTTTCAAATCTTTTTTATTAGAGTTTTGTATAAAAGTACAAAAATACAAGGGTCAGGTTAGAAAGGGGTACACACATCTCTTGCTCGACATCACATCTCAAATACAGTCTTAAGATTGCTATATCAGACTTAAAACAGCCTGAGGGCCATGAATAAAATATACATCTACTATAAGTTGCAATAGGTGAAGGTTACATGTCCAATCCGAATGCATACACATATAGCACACTGTACTTGCATAGTATTTTACTAATATTAGTCATAGTTAA